TCCCCCCTCTCTCTCTCTCTCTCTCTCTCTCTCTCTCTCTCTCTCTCTCTCTCTCTCTCTCTCTCTCTCTCTCTCTCTCTCTCTCTCTCTCTCTCTCTCTCTCTCTCTCTCTCTCTCTCTCTCTATCTCTATCTCTCTCTCTCTCTCTCTCTCTCTCTCTCTCTCTCTCTCTCTCTCTCTCTCTCTTTCTCTCTCTCGTCTCTCTCTCTCTCTCTCTCTCTCTCTCTCTCTCTCTCTCTCTATCTATCTATCTATCTATCTATCTATCTCTCTCTCTCTTTCCCTCTCTCTCTCTCTCTCTCTTTCTTTCTCTCTCTCTCTCTTTGCTCTCCCTCTCTCTCTCTCTTTCCTCTCTCTCTCTCTCTCTCTCTCTCTCTCTCTCTCTCTCTCTCTCTCTTCCTCTCTCTCTCTCTCTCTCTCCTTCTCTCTCTCTCTCTCTCTCTCTCTCTCTCTCTCTCTCTCTCTCTCTCTCTCTCTCTCTTACTCTCTTCTCCTTCTCTCTCCCTCCTCTCTCTCTCCTTCTCTCCCCTCTCTCTCTCTCTCTCTCTCTCTCCTTCTCTCTCTCTCTCTCTCTCTCTCTCCTCTCTCTCTCTCTCTCTCTCTCTCTCTCTCTCTCTCTCTCTCTCTCTCTCTTTCCTCTCTCTCTCTCTCTCTCTCTCTCATATTCTCTCTCTCTCTCTCTCTCTCTCTCTCTCTCTCTCTCTGTCTCTCTCTCTCTCTCTCTCTCTCTCTCTGTCTCTCTCTCTCTCTCTGTCTCTCTCTCTCTCTCTCTCTCTCTCTCTCTCTCTCTCTCTCTCTCTCTCTCTCTCTCTCTCTCTCTTTCTCTGTTTCCGAAAGTGACCCAACGCAGAGTCAACCTGCCCCCTCCAGCTTCCTGACCTGACGCCGTAAGTGACGTAGAAAGAGCTCCTTAGATCAAGGTCGGGGCCGTGACGTCACCGGCCACAGCTTCCGGTATGATAACCAGTTTTTTTTCCTTCTTTTGTCTTCCCTTCTTTCTTTTTCTTTCTCTTTGTCTCTCTATTTCTCTTTCTCTTTGTCGTTTTCTTCTTCTTTTCTTCTCAACGCCTCTCTTCTCTTCTTTTCTCATCTCTCTCTCCCTTTATGGGTTTACTCTATTTATAGGTCACTCCATTCTATCTCTTTTTCTCTCTTTCTCTCTCTTTCGCGCTCTCTTTCGCTCTCTCTCTCTCTCTCTCTCTCTCTCTCTCTCTCTCTCTCTCTCTCTCTCTCTCTCTCTCTCTCTCTCTCTCTTCTTCTTCTTCTTCTTCTTCTTCTTCTTCTTCTCTTTCGTTTCTTTCTTCTTTCTCCATTTTACTTTTTTTCTTTTTATTCGCGTTTATATTTTTTTCTTCTTCTTCCTCTTTCTATTTTCTTAAATTTTCTCTCTTCTTGTTTTTTTCTTATTATCCTTATTTTACTCATCCCGTTTTTCTTCTCGCTTTCTTATTCGTCTTCTTTCCGTTTTTTTTCCTCGTTTTTATTTTTTGTATTTTCTTATCTTATTCTTCTGCTCATTTTCTTTATTTTCTTCTTTTTCTTCTTCTTCTTCTTCTTCTCCTTCTTCTTCTTTATTTTCTTCTTCATTTTCTCCTTCTACATCTTCTCCTTCTTCTTCTCCTTCCTCTTTTCCTTTCTCTTCTTCTGCTGCTGCTGCTTCCTTTTCTTCTTCTTCTCCATATTTTTCCCCTCCTCTTTCTTCTGTTTTTCTCTTCTTCTTCTCCTTTTCTTCTGTTTTTCTCTTCTCCTTCTTCTCCTTTTCTTCTGTTTTTCTCTTCATCTTCTATTTTTCTTTTGTTTTTCTCTTCTCCTTTTCTTCTGTTTTTCCCTTCTTCTTCTTCTCCTTTTCTTCTGTTTTTCTCTTCTTCTTCTTCTCCTTTTCTTCTATTGTTTTTCTTCATTCTCTCCTTCTTTTTTCTTCTTCTTCATCTTCACCCTAGACAATTCTCAAAGTTTTCTCTCTATTGCTATTCGAATAAACAATCGCTTGCGAAGAAACTTTGGGATTGGCTTAAGAAGAACGAAGGAGACAGAGAGAGAGAGAGAGGCAGGGAGGGAGGGAGGGAGAGAGAGTGGGAGGGAGGTAGGGAGGGAGGAAGAGAGAGAGAGAAAGTGAGTGGGAGGGAGAGAGAGAGAGAGAGAGAGAGAGAGAGAGAGAGAGAGAGAGAGAGAGGGAGGGGGGGGGGAGGAAGGGAGAGAGAGAGAGAGAGAGGGAGGGAGAGAGAGAGAGAGAGAGAAAGAGAGAGAGAGAGAGAGAGAGAGAGAGAGAGAGAGAGAGAGAGAGAGAGAGGGAGGGGGGGGGGGAGGAAGGGAGAGAGAGAGAGAGAGAGGGAGGGAGAGAGAGAGAGAGAGAGAAAGAGAGAGAGAGAGAGAGAGAGAGAGAGAGAGAGAGAGAGAGAGAGAGAGAGAGAGAGAGAGAGGGAGGGGGGGGGGGAGGAAGGGAGAGAGAGAGAGAGAGAGGGAGGGAGAGAGAGAGAGAGAGAGAAAGAGAGAGAGAGAGAGAGAGAGAGAGAGAGAGAGAGAGAGGAGAGAGAGAGAGAGAGAGAGAGAGAGAGAGAGTGAGAGGGAGGGAGAGAGAGAGAGAGAGAGAGAGAGAGAGAGAGAGAGAGAGAGAGAGAGAGAGAGAGAGAGAGAGAGGGAGGGAGGGAGGGAGGGAAGAGGAGAGAAAGAGAGAAAGAGAGAGAGAGAGAGAGAGAGAGAGAGAAGAGAGAGAGAGAGAGAGAGAGAGAGAGAGCGAGAGAGTGAGAGAGAGAGAGAGAGAGAGAGAGAAGGAGGGAGAGAGAGAGAGAGAGAGAGAGAGAGAGAGAGAGAGAGAGAGAGAGAGAGAGAGAGAGAGACAGATAGACAGACAGACAGACAGATTAAGAGAGAGAGAGAGAGTACGCTGTCTATTTATTTCTTTATTTATTCATATACTTATCTTTTATTATCAATATCATTATCATCATTGTTATCATTATTATTATCATTATTGTCATTATTATCATTATCATCATGATTATTATTATCATTATTATTATTATCATTATTATTATTATTGTTATTATTATTATCATTATTATCATCATTATCATCATTATCATCATTGTCATTATTATCATTATTATCATCATCATCATCATTGTCATTATTATCATTATTATCATTATTACTATTATTATTATTATCATTATTATTATTATTATTATTATTATTATTATTATTACTATTATCATCATCATCATCACGACCATTGCTACGTATTTATTCTCTTTCCCTTTTTTCTTCTTTCCTTTCATACGGGACGCGCGGACGCCAAGACCGGACATGGGCGAGGTAAGTTTAAGATGTTCGAGAGCATGTCATTTCTCTTTTCTGCTGAGTCACCGTGACGCGGGATGGCCTTCCGATGTGCGTAGGGGAGGGGGGGGGGGAGTGTGTGTGTGTTTGTGGGGTGAGTGGGGGGGGGGGGCGTGTGTGTGTGGGGGGGGAGTTGTGTTTGTGTGTGTGTGTGTTTGTTTGTTTGTGTTTGCGTTTGTGTTTGTGTGTGTGTTTATATTTGTGTGTGTGTTTGTGTTTGTGTGTGTGTGTTTATATTTGTGTGTGTGTTTGTGTTTGTGTGTGTGTGTTTATATTTGTGTGTGTGTGTGTGTGTGTGCTTGTATTTGTGTTTGCGTTTGTGTTTGTGTGTGTGCATGTGTGTTTGTGTTTCTGTTTGTGTGTGTGTGTATTTATATTTGTGTGTGTATGTGTGTGTGTGCGTGTTTGTATTTGTGTTTGCGTTTGTGTTTGTGTTTGTGTGTGTGTTTGCGTTTGCGTTTGTGTTTGTGTTTGCGTTTGCGTTTGTGTTTTTTGTTTCTCTGTGTGTGCGTTTGCGTTTACTTTTGTGTCTGTGTGTATACGTGCTTGCTTGCATGTAGGTATATATGTATGAGTATGAAATCGAAGTCAAAGATGTTGAAGTCAAAGTTAAAATCGAAGTCAAAGATGTTGCTCAGATGTTGAAGCAGACGCAAAATTGGGTCCACATCATAGTTGCAGACCTTATTGCACGCACAGATTGCAAGGCAAGTCAACAAGTCTAGTGGAGGACGAGGGATAAATGTCAGATGAATGTGTGAAACTATTGTGCTATTTTAAAAGCCTTGCGGAAGTCACTGTGAATTACGAAAGGAGAAGAAGAAGAAGAAGAAGGAGAAAAAGAAGAAGAAGAAGAAGGAGGAGGAGGAGGAGAAAAAGAAGAAGGAGAGAGAAGAAGAAGAAGATAAGGAAGAAGAAGAAGAAAAAAAAGTAAAGAGGGAAAATAAGAAAAAAAATACAGAAGCAGAAAGAGAACAGTAGAAGAAGTAGAAGTAGTAGAAGAAGAAGAAGAAGAAGAAGAAGAAGAAGATAAGGAAGAAGAAGAAGAAGAAGAAAAAGTAAAGAAGAGGAAAAATAAGAAAAAAAATACAGAAGCAGAAAGAGAACAGTAGAAGTATACGTAGAAGAAGAAGAAGAAGAAGAAGAAGAAGAAGGAGGAGAAGAAGAAGAAGAAGAAGAAGAAGAAGAAGAAGAAGAAGAAGAAGAAGAAGAAGAAGAAGGGGAAGAAGAGACGTAGGCAGAACAAGAAGAGGAGACAGAAGGAGGGCCGAGAACACAAACCGACCGCGAGCAGGACCAGTCCGCGCCAGGCACCCAGACGGAACAACTGCAGCCGCGCATTTTGAGTAGTCGGTCAGTGGTAGCAGAGTCACTTGCGTCTGGGCGTCGAGGAAGAGGAAAAGAGAGAGAAAAAGGGGAGGGAGGGAGAGGGAAGAAAAATAGAGAGAGAGAGAGAGAGAGAAGAAGAAGAAGAAGAAGAAGAAGAGAGAAGAGAAGAAGAGAGAGAGAGAGAGAGAGGGAGAGAGAGAGAGAGAGAGAGAGAGAGGGGGGAGGAGAGAGAGATGGGGGAGAGGGGGAGAGAGGGAGAGGGAGGAAGGAAGGGAAGGAGGGAGAGAGAGAGAGAGACCTCGATAATTACGACACAGTTCAACGTAACGCAGCCTAACTCGAGGCTTCCCTCTTGAAAATGAGAGAGAAATCGAGAAAGTGAAAATGAAAGACAAAGAAACAAAAAGAAAACGAAAAAAAAACACACACACACAAAAAAAGGAAATATTCACACACCAAAAGACAGACACACAAACAAATCTATTAATGGAAAAAGAAATATGACCAATGACAACCGCCTCGAGAAGATGAAGAAGAGGACTTATGAGTTAATAAAACAATGATTAAGCCGTTCCTGCTGTGACAGTTGCAAGCGTGTCAACTGCAGAAGAGTTGGGAAACAGCTATAATAAGAATGATTTACGCGCCTATTGTCATATCGGAGAGTATTGGAGAGAGAGAGAGAGAGAGGGAGAGAGCGGGGGGAAGGGAGGGAGGGAGGGAGGGAGAGAGAGAAGGAGAGGGAGGGAGGGGGAGGGGAGGGGGAAAGGGAGGGAGGGAGGGAGGGAGAGAGGGAAGGAGAGAGAGAGCGGGGGGAAGGGAGGGAGGGAGGGAGGGAGAGAGAGAAGGAGAGAGAGAGCGGGGGGAAGGGAGGGAGGGAGGGAGGGAGAGAGAGAAGGAGAGGGAGGGGGGAAGGGAGGGAGGGAGGGAGGGAGAGAGAGAAGGAGAGGGAGGGAGGGAGGGAGGGAGGGAGGGAGAGAAGGAGAGGGATGGGGGAAGGGAGGGAGGGAGGGAGAGATAGAAGGAGAGGGAGGGAGGAAGGGAGGGAGAGAGAGAGAGAGAGAGGCAGAGAGACAGACAGAGAGCCAGACAAACAGACAGACAGACAGACAGAGAGGGAGGGAGGGAGGGAGAGAGAGAGGGGGGGAGAGGGAGAGAGAAGGAGTGGGAGGGAGGGAGAGAGAGAAAGACAGAGAGAGAGACAGACAGACAGAGAGAG